TATTCTATTCCTTATTGTGTGCTCAACCCACCTCACAGGTTTATTATTGTGAGAAAATGGGAGGGGGAAAGTATGTTGGCTATGTTCTCTGTCTTGAGTTATTTATGAAAATAATAAAGGAGGGATGCAAATAAATAAGGTTTCTGACTAGAAATGTCCTTCATTATTACAATATATATCTATATTTTTAGCCTATATATAATAGTGGCTCTAGTGGCTATGGAAGTTTGGGCAGCAATGGATCACATGAGCACCTAATGAGCGTGGCTTCATCCAGTGACAGCAATGGGAACAATGAAGATACTCAGAAGATACAGAAAACGGTAAGTTTGGCATTATATTCTATTAATATTTTCACTCTAATGAGAAAAAAAGTAATGGTGGTTTTTCTTATAAATGTGAGCCAATTAAACAATTTGTAATTAATTACTCCAAATAAAATGCATCAAGTATGGTTTAAAGACTGTTTGTTTCCTCTTGATTCTAGAATTCTTCTCAAAATATTTGTAAAAATGCAAGTGTGGACAGAACTCATGCCTTCTTTGATTCTAGATTAAAGCTTGAAAATCAAAAGAAATCTTACAGAGGTAATTTAAAGTTAATTTAAAGAAATTACTATCAGTTATTTTAGCTATATCTTAAATTATTTTTACTTTTGGTCAAATGCACTCAGTCCAACCCCCACTAACGGTAATCATTTAGTATGGTATTTCCTATATCTTAGATAGCAATAGCATTTAGGCTTACGTACTACCCCATAACACTTGACAGCGCTCTCTGGGAAGTTTACAATGTGGAAGCATTATTAGCATATTGTCCCCAACAATCTGGGTCCTTATTTTAACAATTTGGTAGAATGGAAGGGTGAGTCAACTTTGAGCCCTGTCAACATCAAACTCCAGGCTGTGGGCATCGGGTGCCTGTAATACTGTTACTTTAATCCCTGCGCCACCGGATCTTGAGTTGCCTATGTTCTTAGGCTTGATTTTATCAGTTTCCTGACTCTAGAGTTTGATTATGGAAGAAAAACCAAATAAACCTCTGTATTATTTTTATTTTGGCGTTACTCAGAGAAACCCACTGACTACCATGATCATACCAATAGTACCACTCAACTGTTTGAAAATGATGGCACTGGGACTGCTTGTCAAAGGAGTCTAGTTGCAAAAGAATCAACTTGGGGAGAACAAATGATATATTCATATCAACAGATCAACTGTTTAGATAATGTTTTCAGGTAAACAATAATGTATTTAACTGCATTACTGATGTGTATATGTGTGCACTTTTTAAACTGACTGTTTTTAAGTTTTAAAGTTGTTTTTTCTTGTAGATACTTGGAAAGTTGCTGTGCAGTTGACACTATGCAGAAAATGATTCCATATACTGATGTAGCACTGAATACAGATATATATAGAGAGAAAATGAATGCTGATACAACAAAAGCATTCACAGGTATTGGAGACATTGTTTATGGATTTCAGAGAGAGGTCTTATGCACATTTATCTTCAACTAATCTTACCCAAGTGTGTTTAGGATGCAGCTTCCATTTGGGCAACATTCAGTCTTATAACATGCTGAGCCATACAATGCAAGTAAAGCAGTCCCTTTAAGAAACAGTCCAACTTTTTTTCTTTAGCCATGATAATATTTAGACTATGAGTTAACCAGCAAGAACCAGCAACAATGAAGCAGAGAAACTTGTGATATATTCATGTTGCTGGTAATTGTCTGTTCTGTATTAGGTTTCTCAAAGACCAGAGAGTGTGGTAGAAAAAAAGAATACAATTTTCAACAAATAAAATTTGAACATTTTGATTTAATGCCAGTTTTAGAAATATATTTACCATTTATACCAGTATTGTGTAGTTGTTTGTTAATTAAGCATTTAGTACAGTATGTTTATAAACAAATTGGTTTACAGTTCATGGGCATTTAAATAATCTAAATATTGAAATTAAGAGGAAACTAATTCATGTTCTTGTGCTCATTCAGAAACATTTCTTAAAAAGGTAGGGAATATTTTCTTTCATTATAAAGTACTTGGAAATTAAATTGAAAAACAATACTAGTATTTTATTTCTCTGTACAAGTCAGCAGGAATGACAATTCAATGATTTAGTCTT